CGGCTCGGGACAGGACGCACAGGAGGATGGTGCCCCGGGTGGTTCCGGGGGCGATGTTAGACGATGCTGCAGCTGCTTCGCTACGTATGATCTCAGGTGAAGGGGCCCCAGGACACACACACACACACACACACACACACACATAAATACACACAAACAAAAAGATACCCCCTACTTTGCCATCTCTTCGGGGGTTCTGTCTTCCCCCCCCCACTTCCCATATTATTTTCCCATATGTTCTGTGAATCGACGATGAATTGTGTCTGTGTGTTTTTTCCCTCCTGAGTGATGTTGCACGATGCTGCAGCTGCTTCGCTAGACGTCTGATCTCCGGGGCGGCCCGCCCATTGAACGGAGCGGGGCCGCCCCGCAGCGACGGGCCGGCGAGAGGCACACCTGTCAGAACTCTCTCGGCTGCGGGAGCCCTGCCTGACAACCCCCCCGCAGGGGGAGCCGGGGCCCCGGCTCCCCCGAGCGGCACCCCGATGCGGCGTCGGCTCGGAGCCGCAATCGGATCGGGTCGGGTCGGCCGAGCTCGAGTGGAGATCGAGACCGAAGTCAAGGCCAAGATCGAGCCGGATCGGCCAGCACGGAGTCGAAATCGAGTCGGATCGGCCGCGCCAGGCTGGGTTGGGAGAGTCGCCAGCGCCGCAGCGTGAGCACGAGGCAAAATGGCAGGATGGTGGCGGCTCGGGCCCGCGAGACCCCGAAATGCGCCGAGGCGGGGGTGTGTGTCCGTCTCCACCACCGGGGGGACCGATGTCCGGGGGAACTGGGGGGAAGGGAGGATATTGGAGGCCTCCCAGACGAGGTCCGAGTAGACGGGGTCGGAGGAACTCGCCGCACCGCCGAGCGTCGGCGATGCATCGGCCATGCACCGGCGACGTCGGCGATGCATCGGGGACGTCAGCGTGGATGGATTCGGGCCCCACATCGAGCAACATCGCCACTGCATCGCCGATGCATCGGCGATGCGGCGTGATCTTCCGAGCCCATCTACTCGGACCTATCTAGGAGGCCTAGAGATATGGATGCAATTTGGCCCCAAGGGGGCCAGATGTATCATGTCCACCGCCTGCCAGGGTCCAAAGAGATGCCCAACAGCGAACCCAAATCTGCAGCAGCTGGCCTCTGTTGACCTGGCGACGCTAGCCCCACATTTAGGTCGGGCATGTCCCCCTACAAGCGGATCTTGGACGAAACATTAGACATATAAAAAATGCCCCAAATAGAAAGAAACACTAGAAAAATCGTCCCCACACTATGCTTTTAAAACTATTTTGGAATATTCCCTCTGCAGAGGGACAGGCTCGACGCAACCCTACACTGACGGCGCGCGCGGCGACACCGACAGCGGATCCCACCAACATGATTCAGACACTGCTCTAAGACGACGCGAAGATCGGGACAAAATCGGATCGGGATAACTCGAAATCCCTGAGAATCGGCGGGTTTGGAGGATGTATTGGGCGGCGCGGCCGCTCCAGAGCGTTCTGGAACGCTCTGAGAGCGCTCCGGAACGCTCTGGAGCAATGTATCCCGATCCTAGCCCTGTTGTATGCTCTTGGATTTCGTGCCCATTGCTTTCGGGGCCGGTCCCGGGCCGCGCTGGGCCATCGGGAAGCGGGTCAGAAGCAAACGACCGACGTCACCGAAGGCGCCTCGCGCCACCGCCCGCGGGGAGAAGACCAACACGGGGGGGGGCGAGAAAAAAACGCGCCCTCCCCCTCGATCCCCCACTGCGAAACGCCCGACGGGTATGTGGGAAATAAAAGGTACCCGTACTACTACCTCACGGACCTCTCCAGGGGGCGCCTGCTGGCCAAAATTTCATGGCTCATGGCGAACCCGGCCGCGGCGATGAGGGCCTACCAGGACGCCATAAAAAGCAACCACGAGGAAAGGGCAGCGGCACCGGAACCTTTCATTCTCTAAACGTGTGCACCGAAGCATGTCCCTGAGTTCCTCGGCACCTTGGCCGACCGAGGAGCGTGGTGTATGTATGTATGTGTATATATATATATATATATATATATATGTATACATACATACATACATACATACAGACAGACAGACAGACAGGCATACATGCATACATGTATATGTTAGCCAACGTGGGCATAAGGCGGCGTATTCCTATCCATGTAAGTGTGCAGTCGCAGTGAAGCGATAGTTGCACATAAAATGCATTCTACGTGGTGCAATCTATTTTGGGCGCCCTATAAAGTGCAATGAATTTCTCTTCGCAGTGACATGTCCACCCCAATGCGCGCGCGATCCTCCCACCCACCCACCCGCAACTCGGTTTGCAAAACCTATGTGACGGCGATTGCGATGAGTGCTTGGAGTTGGCTGGTTTATCTCTGAGGCCGCTCTAACCCGCGCATGCTCGCGAGCGCAGCGGCCAGCTAGTTGGGCGCGACCGACGCGGCCGCCGTGGCGCTGACCGCTGGGCACTTCCCAGCGAGCACTTTCGTGCGAGTTGGCGACTTGGGCGGGAGCGGATCATGGCAGCGTCGACAACGGTACACGCGATGATGATGGTAGCGATGCTGGTGACGACGATGACAACGACAACGGCAAGGCCAGTGACGGCGCCGATGCTGATGACGCCGACGACGATGACAGCGTCCTCGAGTCCGTGAAAGGCTTGGAGGGAATTCGACATGCGCGCGCGGCCGACGCGCGAGTGGCCAGCAGGGTATTAATTGACACGGATCAAGCCCCTCACCCAACCCGCGCGCAAGGGCGTTCGAATGATTTCGACGTGCGGCGCTAGGGGCCCATGTCGCCGAATGGAACGAACAGGTTTAAACAATCAATGGTTTGGAACGCGAGCGCAAGCATTTTTGAACACTGATGTTGCACAACTGATGTCTTTTATATTTTCGGGGCACCCGATTTTGAAATCCCTGCGAAACGTAAGGCCTGTGAAATATTTAAGCATGCGCCGGCGACGACGCGCGCGCGCACTTCGCCCCATTTGTTGCAAGGGATTCTTGCGACAACACGCTCGCATTGGCGTCTGAGCGATTCCGACATGCGCACGCGAGAAGCCCGTTCGGTAGCATGTTAAGAAAAGATTGAAACCCCATTGTGTTTTCTAAAGAACTCGCAAGATCCCGAGCGCAGGCTGTGTTTGAAAGTTCTCGTTTCGAAACCATGTGTGTGTATGTTTCATATCTTGTCGGGGCACTCGACTTTGGAATCCTTACGAAACCAAAGGTTATTAAGGATTTCGGCATGTGCGCGCGACGCCACGCGCGTGTGCACTTCGTCCCGGTTCTTTGCAAGGGACTATTGTAACAACAAGCGCGCAAGGCCACTCGAGCGATTCCGACATGCGCGCGCGAGAGGCCCGTTTGGTAGCAACGTGTGAACATTTAGAAAGACCTGTGTGTGTTTTTACAGATTTCGCAAGAGCCCGATCACAATCTTGTTTTGAAAATGTTATTGCGAAACCGCGTGTTTATATATGTTGTCGGGACGCTCGACTTTGAAGTTCCTACGTTTCTGAAAGATTTCGGCATGCGCGCGCGACGACGCGCGCGTGCGCATTTCGTCCCGTTTTTGTTGCAAGGAATTCTTAACTAATGGTTTTGAGGAAAGAATGCGCGCGCATTTGCATTTTTTGCCGGTGCTGGCCTGCCTGGGATGGTACGAACTCATGTTCAGGATGGACGATGAGGCAGGATCATACGTAAATTGTGATGCGCAACGGGGAACCACATGTGCGGCAAAGTGAGGGCCCGAGAACTCCGAAAAGATCTTTCACGACGTCGTGCGTTCCGGGAGGGGGAGGGGGAGGAGGAGGAGGAGGAGGAGGAGGAGGAGGAGGAGGAGGAGGAGGAGGAGGAGGAGGAGGAGGAGGATGGAGGAGGGAGGAGGAGGAGGAGGAGGAGGAGGAGGAGGAGGAGGAGGATCCTACGGGTCCGCTCCCAAAGTACCCCGGCCTCTTGCGCCTCTCTCGTGCTTGGCACTTTTTTTCCTGCTCGTGGCAGCTATGCCCTCTGTCTGCCCTGCTGACCGCTGCCCCACAAGCGAAAGTACCGCTCACACAACGGTACTCGATATTGATTTGTTTGCAGGCGCCTCGGTGCTTGGCCCACACACACATGCTATGCGCAAGTCACTGCTCGGACCTACCAGCGCTCAAGCCTGCATGCTGTTAAACGTGAACCATCCGCACTCACAACCACACCGATGGAGCTTCATGGCAAGAGAAAGGAGCATGAGGCATGATCGAGAGAAGGAGGAACGAGTAAGTGGAAGATACACACGGGGCATGACGAATCACCTCAGAGGGAAGAACCTGAAAACAGGCGCCGTGCGAACACGTTCTTGCTTGAAACGACTCTTGAAATAGGCGCCACGGAGGAACGGCGCGCTTAGCTCCGCCGATAACTAAGCAGTGGAAGCTGCCAATACCAGCATCCTTGCGGACCTCCAGTGGACTCGGTAATTGAAAATGCGTGCGTAGACGGGCCTCAGACTCGGCACACAACAATCTATGCGAGCAGGCCAGTTTCTGGTTAAACGACGGCTGCCCTCCTCGGGAGCGGCCAAGAGGGGGGTGTCCAAGAGGGGGGGGTGCAAATCAGGAACAGCGGCATGTGCGCGTTCCAGCGGGGGGGCCATGGACGTAATGAAATAAGAAGAGGCGCCATGAAATCTGGGGAAATATCATGGCCCCCGCCATGTTATCCACCCCCCCCTAGTCCTCACCCCCCTCTTTGCCGCCCCCGACTCCTGCAAAGAGTCTCAGAGCCGTGCAGTGCCCGAAGAAGGACCAGCAACGGGACGCCTTCTCTGGGCGGGAGTCCCGGGCCTTGCCCTGGGACGTGCCGTGCCCGGGAAAGGCAGGCTGGGGAAGCTCCACGTGGCCAAGCCTGAAAACACCGAGGACGCCAGGATTTGCCGTTCCGCCTCCTCTACGCTACTGAGGTTGCGCCAGTTGAGGCCCGGGGTCGAGCCAGTTGAACCAGCGGAAGCCCGGACCCTCACACGACGATGCTCGGAGAAGTGTGAGCGACAGCGCCACAGCTCGGATTGCACGCGTGCGGAGACGAGACTGTGTTGTAGAGGCAAGATCTGTGAGTATGGGCGGCAGCTGGCTGCGATTCACTGTTCCACCACTTTGAGAAAGCCTGCTGGATGGTCAGCCCTTTGTTCGCGATCGCATTCCACTGGACATCGTCCAGGGCCTCGCAGTGCGTATGGCACGAGTGAATAAAAGCTCCGTTCCCGACCTTGTTGTAGGTGCCTTTGCTAGATATGGTAGTCTGGAAGTCGATGATGTACTGGTTCATGGTTGCCATTTCGTCAGCACTACATGTCTCGGGATTGGTGGCGCAAGCACCCCACCCAGGTGCGGCACTGCAGTTTCCATTCGACTTGACGTTCTGTTTGGGGAACCCCGGGACTAACTCCGCCGTGTATATACACTGCGTTTGCCAAGAGTCCAATGCAGAATTCAAAGGAAAAATAGGTGCTTGCGTGTACTGGTAGGCCATTTCGGCAAAGTTACATTTCCATCTGTCTTCATCCACCTGCTCTGATATGCAAGCATCGTTCAAACCATGGGTAGAATTCGCCAAACTGAAAATGTACTTCATTTCTTCTGGATATACCTGCTTCTTCTCCACCGTGTTGTGCAGCAGAAAGAAGCCGCTGATTGGTGCCGAACGGAATTTCTTCATGGGAACATTTGCTGACCGAAGCCAATCATACACATAATCCGTGTGCAAGTACGTTGCCAATCCGCCCGCAGAGCATCCACTCAACAGCACGTTTTCTGCCCTGCTCAGCCCCAGCGTTAGAAGCGTTTGCAACGTCGCATCGATGATACGCTTGCCTCGGAAATACAGCGGCTTTGCTTTTCCATCGAGTCCAGTCACAACAACTGGCTCGTCCCGATTCCCCGAGAAGGAGTTGCCATCGCAGTAAACCATCCGCCACGGTGCCCCCCTGGCACGAGGGTGCGTGGTCGGATGCCAAGCGCTACCTGGTAAGGTTTCTGCAACTCTTCTACGGGCGCCCCCCGGGCACCGCCCACACCTAACGAGGCTGCCCGAGCGCCCCTCCGCTTTCCTGAGGCTCTTCAAAATGATCTAAGGCTTCAAAAGACGGCCTTAGAAGGCCGCCAAGATTGCCCAACAGTGCCTCAAGAGACACCCTGCAGCATCCAATAAGCGCACAATAGGTATCTAGAGGCCTCCAAGAGGCTCAACGTCACCCCCACGACGCTCTCCAGGATGACCTCGACAGACCCAACACATTGATCTTCTGTAGGTTGTGTCACTTGCGTTTTGTTGTCCGCGCTCTTCGGTCGAGTATCGTTCCACTCGCAGTCTTCGAAAATCCAAGAAGGCCCCCTGAGAGCCCTCCGAGGACCCCCTAGACGGCCCAAGACGGCCTCAGAGAGCCCCAAGCTGGCCCGGGATGGCCTCCGGAGAGTAAGAAGGCCCGAAGACGGCTCAAGAGGGCCCGAAGACGGATCCAGGACAGCCCCAGGCGACCCACAGGCGGCCACAATGGCCCGAAGACCGTCCAAGAGGGCCCCGAGATGGCCCAAGAGGGCCTCAAGAAGAGTGAGCAGGGCTCCAAGGGACCCCCAAGACTGCCCCACAGAAGCCCGAGACAGCCCCAAGACGGCCCAAGTAAAGCCCCATGAGAGCTCATCCAGACATGGGGACGAGAGTTGTCACATGTAACAACCTGAGTGCTTTGCTGGCACGGTGGCATATTTGCCGAAGGCACCTGGATATGAACCCGATTGAAGTTGCAGAAGTCTGGGTTGGAGGTGCAATCATCGCTCATGAGGCCGCCTTCAACCATTGTTGGCTGTAAACCCTTTGTAGATCCCAGCCCAGTTTGGGAGCGGCCCCAGCAGTCGATTTCATCATAACACCAGCCTCCACCTTGAAAATGTATCTCCCAATCATTCAAATGCTTTGGGTCCGAGGCAGGAGCGAGGTAGAAAGCAGCGTCAGAGCCATCCAAACACACTGCTCCCATACCAGATAGCCCTTTGTCGGTCATGACATGAAGATGCATCGGCGAGCGCGACATTGAAGCCTTCTCGCCGTGCATGATGTACTGAAGGGCAGGATCATCTTGGGACGCTAAGCTGCGGAGAACATGAATTAGAAACGCAAAGGCCGCACGAGACAGCATGCTGCTCACCGAGGCGCGCCGAACCGACGATCGGCAGCCTGGAGGTCTTCGCAACCAATCAGAACGCAGCTTGCGCCAAAACGGATACGGTTCGGCAGATTGGCCAGGCAGCGCAAGAAGTCATGCCGACGGCTGACGGTGAGGATGGCTGGTACGTAGGTCCCCCCCTCTTGTCCGAGGAGTCGATATGCTAAAGTTTTGCCTGAGATCCAGACCCTTGCCAAAAACAGCACGTCTCATGGCTGGGCTCACGCACTTACCAGTTCGCCGCGCGCCGAAAGGCGCGTCAACTCAGACATGCGGTGCCAGCTCACGCTGGCCCCCCAGCCTGACTCACAATGAACGTTCACTCCTATCACACTACTCCAGATTTCGGAATAAAGGGAGGGGGGTCTCATTTCGGGGGGGGTCTCTTCCAGGCTATCTTGGAGGGCCTGGGCTGGTCTGGGGACGATGTTTTGGAGGGTTCTCCCACGGGGGGGGGGGTCTGAAATGGCTCGTCTTGGAGGGTCCAGACCCCCTCCCTTTTGTTACGAGATCTGGAGTAGCGTGTTTGGCGACCTGCCCAACTCATCGTTCCTCGGGCGCCCAGTCTTCTTGGCAGAACCCTCTGTCTGTGGCAGGCGTGGCAGACGTGAGCGCGCCATGGCGGGGCTGAGCTGCGCCGAAGCTCCCGACCTCACCCCGACGGCTCGAGCTCGCGGGGCTCGGGCGCGCTCGGCTCGGGGGGAACGAAAGGGGGGGATAGCAAAGGGTAGGGTGGATGATCATGAAGGGGCCCTGGGACACACAAATAAATACACACAAATAAAAATATTCCCCATATTTTCCTATATTTTCTGGGTTTTTGTCTTCCCGCCCAATTCCCATATTTTCCCATATTTTCCTGGGAATCGACGATTAATTGTGTCTGTGTGTTTTTTCCCCTCCTGAGATCAGCTCACATAGCGGATTGTCCCAGCGCCTCCCAGGGCCGGGAGGCGTCCATGCATCGAGGGAGGGGACCCGCGGCGGGGCCGAAACCGCCTGCACGCAGCAGATTTCGTACCCCCCCCCCTTTCCCTTTTCGCCCCGCCTCGCTCGGCCCGATCGACCCCCCAGCGATCGCGTTGGCCTCGCGCCTGGACGGTGCCTGCTCTGGGCCCGGTGCCCGGACAAAAGAGAAGAAGGGGCACGAGGGTCACGAGCTCCGAGAAGCGGGCCGTCCCACTCCCAGACCTCTGATGTCGGAACATGCTCCACACGTCCCCCCATAAAACAGGGCTAGGATCGGGATAAATCGCTCCAGAGCGTGCCGGAGCGCTCTCAGAGCGTTCCGGAACGCTCTGGAGCGGCCGCGCCGCCCAATGCATCCTCCAAAAACCCGCCGATTCTCAGAGATTTCGAGTTATCCGGATCCGATTTTGTCCCGATCTTCGCGTCGGTTTACCCCATGACCTCTCGACTCCTTACCAAGGTACTGGCTCTGCACGCCGTGTCGTGCCGTGACGGTCCCAGGACCCGAAAACTGCCCCTGGAAACCGAACATATGATTGGGCTGGGTTGCTGCCTCCAAAATGAACGGTCTGGCCTGTCCTGCAGCGCACCCCGACCAAAATTTTGCGGCCGATCCAATGGTGCCGACGAGGAGGCCCCAACAAAGACACCAAGCTGCCCAGAAGACCTCGAGCGTGGCACCTCGAACCAGGTCTGGCGTCCTCGTTTTTGGGGGTGGTGCCGCATGATGGGCTTGTTTTCCACCACCACCACCACCATAAGCTGGACGGGAGAAGGAGGAGGACGACGAGGAGGAGGAGGACGAAGAGGAGGAGGAGGTGGAGGAGGAGGAGGAGGAGGAGGAGGAAGAGGAGTACCCCCTCCCCCTCAAACATATGGTGGTGGTGGTGGAAAACAGGCCCATCACCGCAGGTGAGAAACGTGCCAGCGCCCTGGTCGCGAAGCCCCGCCGGCCCCATACTGGCGCCCACAACCGGGCCAGCGGAGGGATGGCAACGAGCGGGCCAGCCTGGCCCCCGAACCTGGGCAAGGAGGAGGAGGAGGGGGAGGAGGGGGAGGAGGGGAGGAGGGGGAGGAGGGGGAGGAGGAGGGGAGGAGGAGGAGGAGGAGGAGGAGGAGGAGGAGGAGGAGGAGGAGGAGGAGGAGGAGGAGGAGGAGGGAGAGGGGAGGGGGAGGAGGAGGAGGAGGAGGAGGAGGAGGAGGAGGAGGAGGAGGATGAGGAGGAGGAGGAGGAGGAGGAGGAGGATGGGGGATTGGCGGGCCGCCCCGCTCGGGCTGATGCCCCTCTCTCTACGCGCGCCCCGAGCCTGGGCAGCCATCCTGGGGGCAGCCCCCGGCGCCTACGACGGCTCCTCGCAGCGAGGCAGCGCCCCGAAGGGGCGGCGGGCAGCGGGCAGCACTGGAAGGGCCAGCCGCCGTACGCACGCACACACACACACACACACAAACACATATGTATATGTGTATACATATGTATATATATATATATATATATACAGATGTGTAGACATGTACATATGTGGTTAGTTTCTGTTGCTTAAATATGTACGCATTTGTTCATATATATATATATATATATATATATAATATACATCATATACATCGACATAGAGATAGAACTATAGTATGACTCATATATTTCTATTACCGGGACCCCCCCGCCCCCCCCACCCCCGCCCCCAAACCGGACCCCGCCCCCAGGGACGCCCCGGACGCCATTTCGGGCGTCTCGGTGGCCCCCGGGGCGCCCTTGGAAGAAGTCCGCTGGCCGCCCTTCCGGGCCTCCAGGGCGCCTTGCCGGGCCTTGCGAGCAGACTCCATGCGATCAGAAGGGTCACCGGAGAGGCGCTACAGAGACCCAAGACAGCACAACGCCGCCCCAAGAGAAACTTCGATGGTCCGAAGACGGCCCCCAAGGCGCCCAAGGAGGCCGTTCAGAGAGCCTCGAAAAAACAAACATCGTCTCGCTCCCTAGGGAAAAAGTATCTGTGTTGCATGTCCGCTTTGGGGGTTTCGCACAGTCCAAGACGGCCCGATGGGCCCCCGTTATCGCCCCCAGACGGCCCAAGAGGCCCCCCAGAGTTCGATGACGGTCCAAGAGGGCCCCAGGACTGCACCAGAGAGCCCCGAAACTGCCGACAAGAAACCCAAGATGCCTCCAGAAGGCTCCCAAGAGAGACCCACGAAAGCCATGGGATACCTTCAAGAAGGCCATTGGAGGCCCGCAATGGAGGGTCCCAGCTCCTCAAGACAACCCAAACAAAAAACCCTGGACGGCCCAAAAAGGCCCCAGGACGGCCCCAACAAGCCCCGAAACAAGCCTGGACGGCGTTCTCCGTGCGCGCGCCGCGCTCACGCCAGCCCGCCTGTCTTTCGCGTACCTCTATCACCCTCTCTCTCTCGCTCTCTCTCTTTCTTTTTCTCTCCCTTCCCGTGCCTTCTTCGTCGATTTCCATGTTCGTGGCATCCGATGGCCATCCTCATTCGGCCGCCCCTGCCTCTGGACCCGTTCTCCGTTTCTCCCCCCTCCTCCCCCTTTCCGCCTCGCGAGCCCCCCCTCATCCCTGCTCCCTTCCCGTTCCCCGTTTGAGGACAGGTGCCATCGGAACAGTTTGATACTTCGTCGTTTGCCAGCACCTTGGCGCGTGAAAAGCCCACTCCTGGGCACAAGCGTGCAAACGCATCGGGCGAACGCGGTTTCAGCGGGCACCAGGGATAGTAGAAAAATGAACCGGTCGCCCGTCCAGGCCTCGAGGTCCCACCTGCTGAAACAAACGATGATCCGCCGATCCGGCGTGTGAGTTTCAGAAGTCTAAGCTGAAGCTCTGCTGCAGCATGAGCTTTAGCTCTGCTTGGGAGGGGGGGAGGGGGGGGACGCAATTAACTGATGAATTCAATACTCGGCACCTCCCCCCCCCTTCCACTCCCAGGAGAGAGGGTGGGGACAGAAGAGAGGGGGGGGGAGAGGAGGGGGGGTGGACAGGAGAGAGGGGGGGGGGACAGGAGGAAGGAGGGGGGAGGGGGGAGGGAAACAGAGAGGGGGGGGGAAAGGAGAGAGAGAGGGGGGGACAGGATAGAGGAGGGGGGTGGAAGGGGGGGGCTGGGAGCATCACCATCTCCAGCACCATCACCATCACCATCGTCACATCATCATCATCATCATCATCATCATCATCATCATCATCATCATCATCATCATCATCATCATCATCATCATCAGCATCATCATCATCGTCATCATCATCACCATCACCATCACCGTCATCATCAACATCATCATCATCATCGTCATCGTCATCGTCACCGTATTCATCGTCATCGTCATCATCATCATCATCATCATCATCATCATCATCATCATCATCATCAGCATCAGCATCAGCATCAGCATCATCATCATCATCATCATCATCATCATCATCATCATCATCATCATCATCATCATCATCATCATCCGGAGCGCCCCGGATCGGCGGCGCTGGCCGTAGGCCACTACAATATATACATATACATATGTATATATATGTACAGATATAATCACTCATTATCATACGCACGTCTCCGACGGAGTAGAGCTCAGAACCGATTAATTGAAGGCGGCGCTCGCGATTGTTATGGCCGTTTCGCTAGGGACATCCCC